AGAGAGAGAGAGAGAGAGAGAGAGAGAGAGAGAGTAGAGTGATGTCGATGGCGAGGGCGAGTCGTGCGTCGGCGTAGCGAGGCCGGATGTAAAGCGGTCGCCATTCTCCGGGGTCACCCGAGGTGCCTCGTCATCCGCAGCGCTCGGAGCCTGTCACCGCCGGTACGTTGTACCCGCTGCTATTACCACGCGCAATCATTGAAATGGTTTCTACAAAGTACAATGCGAAACCTATTTCTACCTTCCATTCGCCTACCTTCTTCTTCTATTGGATGCATCTGTGGGCCCGGAGTGATAACCCACCAAGTTTGTCCAATAGTGCGCCACGTTGTTGGATGGACGTTGATTCATGGGTCGTACGCTCCATCCAGTTCGGAGTGTAACGCGAGTCACTACAAAATTATTAGGACATATTTATCCCTCAACAATCTGATATTACCTACGTATCCCTTCGAGATTTAAAGTGACCATGGCCCGGTTCGAATCCGAATCGAGCCTAATGCCGCCGGGTTAGAAAGAGGAGATCCGATTTCCTAAGTGACCACTTGGGTTGGACTAGACTCGAGTTTAGCCCATCTCAAAGAGAGAGAGAGAGAGAGAGAGAGTGTGTGTGTGTGTGAGTGAGTAAAGAGGTATTGGGTTTTGTGGGTACTAAGAGAATAATCTCATGAGGTACATAAAATCTAGAAGCTCAACAAAATTAAACATCGATATTTAGTTCACGAGAAATAAATGATAATAATTTTATATTATATTTGAAGTTATCATCATCAAGGAGGTATGATTTTGGAACACAAAAGAAACTATCACTAAATGGGCAAGATGATAAAACCTTCAATCATGTGGGGGTGATAGTTCTTTAGAGAGATAAAAGATGAAATTAAGGAGAGTAAGGATATCTTAAAAGTTTTATATTTTAAATGATAAAATGAACTTTAAAAAAATTATTTTAAGCATGGACAATGCATTTAAATGAAGAATTCATCTTAGTTAACATTGAAATGAATGAAACAAATTGATTGTTATGCACTATTAGTTTTAGTGCTAATTTGACATCTTTTTTCTTTTTTTTAGAATCAAATTAAAACAACACTTGGTATTCCAAAGACTATCCATGTGATTCAACCTTTTCTATATTGTTTAGAATGCATCTAAAAATTAGAATATTTAAACTTTAATGTTATAGTCTTTTTAAATCTAAAATTTTCAAGATTTTAATTTTTTTAATTATACTTAAGTCATTATTATTATTATTATTATTATCATATCAAAACACAATACTATTTGCTATTGTTGTCGTCGCATTTTCATTATAATCATCACATCTTCGATCATCAGGATCATTTTCTAATTTTTTTTAAAAATATATAATTTCTTAAAAAATAAATTAAATTAAAAATTATGTCCTTAGTATCCAAAATTCTCTTTAAAAAGCTAATCTAATAAGTATTTGGGACCTATCTTAATTTGAGTTTGGCATCTCCACTTAGATGTTTGCTTCACTATGAAATGTTCTCCATAGGTTGTTGTTGTTAGTGTGGGTCGTTCACATCACTATTGACATCGACATCTATATATAAGTATTAGAGGGATAGATACATGACATGATGATGATATGCGGCATCTTGAAAGAGCAACACATGCCAAATAAACATGCAGCACTTGTCATGCCAATTCTTTACTTGGCCTCTTGATGAATGCAAAGGGTTAGAAGACCAATGGAAAAAGATGGTTAGTGGAAGAGTCACATTTCCTTTCTTCTCCCTTTTTTTGGTTTGCTAATGGATGTTGCCACTTTGATGAACAACTGAAACTTGTGCAAATCCACTTTGCATGATGAATCTACAATATTTCACCTGTCTGCTCTATGAAATACCACCTTTTGATACAAAATTCTACCATAATCTAAATGGAGTTGCCTGTGGCACATCATTTATTGTATGTTCCCAACATCATCCAACTTATATGGCTTATAAGAGTATGAGATTGATGACAAGGACATGTTGCCTATAATTGCCACAACCAGTTTCAATGGCTTATCCTAATCAATGTTGCAGAAGAGTTAAGTAGCCAACATTTTCAATTGTATATACCTACTGGACAAAAGAGGGGATGTCCTTTTCCTTAGAAGCTTATCCCCTAGTTTTCTCCTCAAACCCTATCACCCTCCTCGAGAAACCTTGCTGGATCAACTAGCTTATGAAAAGGAGTGCATATAGAAACAAATTGTACTACAACTCAAATAATTTGATACCTACAGCTATTAATTTTACTTAAACTTGGTGTTCTCAATGATCATGGAGAAAGACATAGAGAAGCAAACAGCTACTACTGCATCTTAGTGGCAATGAGAGCTACAACTTGCAAGGAGAACCAAGTTGGACCATTTCATAGTTATGCTTTGTTTTTCTCTTTGAAGGAAAATGCATTTATGTTAGAGGAAGAATGATTGATTTTAGTAAAGAACTTGGAACCAATTATGGTTTTTTTGTTTGTAACTTTATTATCATCTTCATTTTTGACTACATAAACTATATTAACAAAGAAATAAGTATTTTTTTTACTGGTTAATTATGTGATTATAGTTTTTATGACAAGCTCTAACCACAGTTTTGGAACCATCAATTTCGATTCTACAAAATTTGAAACCAAATAGATTCCACATGATTTTGATTCCACATAACTTTGATACCAACTAGAACACCCCTAGTCATCGCATTAATCTTGTGATCCCTATATGATATGGACCATGAGCATGATGGACCTTATCCTCCTCCCAACATGATCGTAGTCCTCAGTTCTGTCAACCTCATACTTCCCCGTGAACGACACTCTTCCCCATGTAATGGGGTCGGCATTTTCTTTTCCATGCTATGAGATCTATAAATGGATGGATTCATGCTCGGAGATCAGATACGACTCGTGATGCAGCAGTCCAAATCGAATGTGCATGCAAAATAGTGACTTTGTGTAGGGTAGAATGCTAAAAGTCAACTCTATACGCAAATAACAGACGAGGAGATACATCCAAAGACGCTATCTTGTTTTGATCTTGTGATTATAATAGTATTATCACTTTGTAACTTGAAGTTTTCTGATCTCAAATTCATGAGTTTTAAGTTTGGATGAGGATTAAGTGCTGAAAAAGAAGACAGAGAGGGGAAGGAGTACTGTCTTCTTCATGAACTGATGATGCTTTCTTCCTTGACAGCTAACGTATGGCTTACTGCCAGTCCCCTGCAACTGTGGCTTAAACATCCTTGTTGTTGCAGGTTTCATGCATCAGTCTGTTTGCACATCCTTTCTTCGGTCCACCTCACCAGCTTTCCACCCCAACCTTTGACCATTATTTGTCTTGACAGCGTTGGCAGATCTGTAGCTTAAAATACTGGGAAGACCAGGTTCATCCATAGTTATTATTTAAGCATGCTTTCATGCCAAACCACAAGTAGTAGCACTCCTGTGAAGATTGATCAGATGTTCATCTTCGTTACCGCAGATGCCGTCTCTTTGGTCGCACTCTTCCCCAGTATGGATTCCACGTCTAGCTTTCATGACAGAAGACGAAGGTTTTCCCTTCCACGGAACAAATGTGAAATCCAATGACCTAAAACTCAAAAAGATCAAAGAACACAAGCCTCATCCATGCAAGTGGCTATGTTTTATATTTATGTACGCAGAAGAAAAACCTAAAACGCCACCTTAATCACAACAAAAGAATGACCACTGGGTCTCCACCATTCCTGACACAGCAACTGTGGGGAGAAAACCTACGTCGTTCCTGATAGAGTGTGTCCGAAGTAGTCAAAGCAATCATGGTACGTCAAGCAGATGATGACGCGGATTACACACTGATCAAAAACAAGCCATAAAAAGAAGGCAAAGCTTATCCATAGGTTGGGAAGCAGGAGGATACAGCTGTGAGCAGGAGACAAATCTATGGGCAACTGAGCCCTGCATCAACACCAAGATGCAAGAACACCAGCGATCTAATTTTACCCACTGTTGGAACCAAACGCTTCCCCCTATGCTTGTTCAATGCTTCAAAGCGGCCCCAAATATATGCTGAGCCTTATCCAGTTGACTGCGTCGCCATCTCTCGCCGGGAAGTGGAACGCCCCCCTTGTCCTTTTGCGCCCCCCGCGCCCCACGATGTCCGCTGCGGCTTCCGCAACACGGTTCAGGGTTCCTTTCGCTGGGAGGGCTTCTGCGGCCCACGAGATAAGGACTTAATACGTTGACGCGTGGCCTGGAAGCCCTCCGATGGTGCAGGCGATCCTTCGGGTCCCACGGGGGGCCGATCGGATGACCGGCACGCGGTCATGCGCCCGAGCCACCCGCTCGCGGGCGAATGAGAGATGGCGAGGACACGTTTCGGTGGGGCGTCGCCAGGAGATGGCACGTGGACGGCGGGGCGTCGTGGGTCCCGGCTCGGCCTTATCCTCCACGCTCCCGCGGATCTTTCGAAGCTCCGCATGCTTCTCCCCGTGCGTTCACGAGTCATCTGGTCGTCAGAACCCAGTGGAAGGCGGATTTAAGTACCCTCACAGAGAACGCGGTGCGCGAATCCCCGCATATCTAGCGACAAGATCCGAGGGTAGAATAGTCATTTCGATCGATGCACTCGCTGAGCCAAAAGAGAGGATTTAATTAAACCCAAGAGAATTAAAGGGAATAAATAAGAGTTGTTGCCGGGTAGAAGCGGCTGCTTGTCCGTACGAAACCGTAGCAACAGCGGCAGCGGTTCGATCGCCGCGAGGGATTTTAATTAAGGCGGAGCGTTGTTTTCCTCCCTCCCTCTCCCTCCTCTCATATTCTCTCCTCTCCTCTCGTCTCCTCTTCGTCCCAGTCCATCTTCGCTCTGGAAATCGAGCTCGAATTCGTGGAGGATTTCGATCCCGGTAACGCTTTCCTTTTCCCCGCTGAATCTTCCCCCGTTTTGCCGCGAATTTTCCCGATCTCGAGAACCGTAGTGGTTTCCTGGTGATCTGTTTCGAGGCATCGCTACTTTTGCTTCTACGTCGGAAGCTTTGGATAGTGGAAGCGTGATTTCTTCCATTAAATCGGTTGTTTTCGTTTAAAGAGAAAGGTTGGCCTCTTTCTCTCTATTCTCACTCATCTGATTTGATTCCTTGCGGGAATTCCCCAGATTTTATCAACTCGCT